GTACCTGTTGATGTTGTCCTTGTTGACCTCGTCCAACTTTGAATTGATCCCTGGAAAGTGAAAACTCAGCATGGACATCTTACCTCAGGGTTTTCAAGGCTGTGGTTCTCAGTATCTTCCAGTCCTCATCTCAGCCATCCAGTTAGAGATCTTTCACTTCTCTTGGAGGTGGTTCTTTATTAGAGCTGGTTCAATACTCATAGAACCTATGAGAGTCATCCCACCCCCAGGCTCTGGGAAAGTTCTCCAAACGTCTTTCCAATTCTAAACGCATTGACCTCTGCCTCCATCCTTCGAAATGATCCAGTATAATTCTTTCAACAAGAGATTGCAAACAAAAGCCTATGCAAGAGTTATTTTTATTTAGAAGTAGATAACTTCAGCTTTTGTCCCAGAAAGTGAACATAAAATATGATTACTGTCTTAAAATGGGAAAGAAAATGAAAAAGCAGTAGGAGAAGGAACAAAGCACACATGAATACCTGGATAAATTATCCTTTCACCTACACATTTCTACAGTTACTGCAAAACACTCACGTATGAACTCAAATTGGGGAACGTAACAAGCTTCTGCTGCGGGCTGGGTGCTTCTCATGCTGAATGAGATCTGGGGAAAGTGATGTCTGGAGACAACTTTTAAGAATGTGAACTCCTTACTGACAAGACAGTATGATGCGGTGGTTAAAAGAATAGAGTCTGAGCTGAGCCTATCAGGGTTCAAATCCGAGCTTTACATTTACCATCTGTGGGACCTGGAGCACATTGACCTCTGGGCAGTAGCGTTGTCTTCTCTGCCTCATTGGACTGTTATGAATAAGAAATGAATTGTCATTTGCTATATAAGCTGAGACAGATCTAAAAGCTGCTTCTGTTTAGGTCTTATTAGGTGTAAAGATCTCTAATTACTCAGCTTTGTGTGTTTGGTGCTCTTTAAAAAACTTGGGAACCCTTTAATGTTTTAAAACATCAACCAATATTTTATTGGTTTCAAAGTCATGGGTGGTTACTAGCAGTGGCTACCAGTGGCCACCAGCATCAGTCACTGGAGTTGGCACCTGCGTGTGTATAGAGACACACGTATGGGACTTGGGAATAGGGTGTATGGGTCATTATGAAAGTTGTGAGATACACAAAAATCAAGAAACATAAAATCCATGTGGTTGGAGACAAATGAAGCCCTCGCTGCAACACCAGTAAGTTAAGCAAGTTGAAACTTGCAGGTTGAATCAGAAAGGATTGTATTTTTTGGAAGTGAAATAATGAACCATAACAGAGTCTGTCTCAAAACTTTCATAGTGACCCACATAGTATATCGATTCCACCTTGTAAAAGGAGCAGAAAAGCAGGTGTGCAAATTTCTGCAAAATTGAGGGATTCGCATCAAATCTTCATCGTATAGCTGTGCGCCTGCCACCCCAAGGATTTCCCCTGACGCTAGGTGTCCCAGGATGGCAATGCCAACTCTTTGTCTCCTCATCTTTCATTACCAGGAAGGCTCTGTTCCTCAGTGAATTTCCTCTCCATTCATTTTCAAATGACTTTTCTGATATGAGTATTGTTGAATATGCACAAGAAAGAGCAAGATAGCGGGCGAGGTGTGTGTATGGACAGATTTGCATAAGTATAAATACAATATACGTGCCCATATTTAAACGATATAATGATAATATTGTGTTGCCATCTCAGAGTGAAAGCTAATTAATTCAGCTATTGAGATGGTAATGATTTCTTTTGCAGTTAGCACCAGAGTGAAAAAAAAAAACCCTTCAGAATTGTTCTATGCGCTCTTCCTTTGACTCATCTTGGAATAGGCGTTTTATTCTGTTAACTATTGAGCTGTCTGTCAGCATCTATGACAGCTTTAAAGGGAATCATTCCTGGGAGGGGATAAAGACCTGGGAAGGCGGATTCACGTGGGCTGAATTGGTCACTGAGGTCGTGATTTGGTTCCAGGAAAAAAAAAAAAATTCTCCTTTGGCTTGTAGTCTCTTTTAAAATGCACGCTTTGGTATTTGCACTCTCAGTATCAACTCTGATCTGAAGCACAAAGTCTTTTTTTAGACTTTATTTGGTTGGATTTGACATTTAGGAAAACGTTAGGATCTTTCCTATTGAAATTTACACCAGCTGACAAATTCACAAGCCAGTCTGTGACATTGTTGACCTTGGTATCTCTAACTTTTCCTTCAGCCTCTGTTTCATATTTAATTATTACCAAGACCTGATGTTCTGTTTCCTCCCCTCTATTCTCTCCCAGGCCCGTTCAGGCATGGATCACCTCTCAGCTGTGTCATGGTAATAATTCCTTAGGTCTGGTTTCCTATCTCCCTGTTCTCCCTTTCTTCCCTTGCTCTAAGGATTCTTCTTCCCTACACATGGGTTAGGTCAGACCCCTCTCTGTCAAAACCTTTAACAGCATCTGTCTTTCCGCATGGTAAAGACTCAGCTTCTTGCTTGGCATTCAGAGGCATTTAAACGCATTTTGTTCCTGCTACAACCCCCTTACTCATCACCCATGAATCCTGCCACACTCTACCCTCCCACCTAGATGGATTATCCTTCCCTCCCTTGCAGCTTCCAAAGCTCATTTCCGAGAACGTCTCTCCTCCTGCATGATCCATGTTTCAAAAACCCTACTTATTCTCTAAGGCCCAGACTGAAGTCTGCGTCCCTGATTTCCCCCTACTCAGAATTAATCAGGATCACTCACTCCCAGCCCATAAAGTACCATTTCCTCGGGACACCTGACTTCTAGCTGTCGGGACGGTGTCATACATGTATTATACTTACCTTACTACAATCTTTTGCCTTCTGCTGGAAAATTGTCATGATAAACACACCAATCTCAATGCCTGCCTCTTAAATTGTGGCACAACCTTCACGAGCATATGGTGTGTCCCAGAAATAATCACCTTCATGCTGACATTCCAACAATTTATTACTTATGTAGCTACCCTGTTATTCACATATTATGCTGTGAATTTACTTCTTTGTCTTCCCACCAAGTTGGAAGCTCTGAAGACAAGGGATGTCTTATTCGTCTTCTTATCTCCCTGGTCAGGGACTACAGCTCTCAGATAGTAGGTACTTAATATTAAGTTATTCTACTCTCTTGTGACCAAAGTGAGGCAACTGTAACATAGTGGTTAAGACTATACGATTTAGTGCATGACTGCCTGGCTCTGAAACTTCCTAGCTCACTCATTAACTATGCGATCATGGTTGACTGTCTTAACCTCTGTACCTTATTTTCTTCATCTACAATGTGGGGATGTATAATAATATCCTCATCTTAAAATTAATAAGATGACCAAGTGGGAGTAAAGAGGTTAAAACAATAGCTATTAAGTGCTTAATAAACGTTAGATAGTGTCCCAACACTCTGTGAAAATAGGAAAGAACTCTTGTCTTGGTTTTGATAGAGGCATGAAGACACTAGGTGCTACATTCCAAAGTGAACTCATCTTGCAGAAATTTCACAGTGGATAGTCAGGAACCAGTTAAATAGCTCACCTATTCTGAGGATCCCTTGTAAGGGATTTTGGAGACTGTGACTAGGGAGCTATGTGCATCTTATACCTGAATTATAAAGAGGGTGTCAGAGGAGGGAATGTGTGCCCTGCAGGCCACCACTGGAGTATATAGCACCTTTTTTAGAATTAGAAAAGAGTGTCTCCTCTTGCTCAAATCTATACACTAAGGAGGTCCTGTTGCTGCAGGCCCAGTGAAGGGGTCTTCATGAAATCACTTGAAGACACTGATACGTATTCCATGGAGCCAAGGGACATGAGGACTGGTGTCCAGCTTTCACCTGAGAAGCTGAAAGGCAGGAGGTAGGGCCAACTGCTCGTGATAAGTGGGAGACATTTCTCTGCTCCACGGAGATTGTTGGACCAGAGAAAACCATCACAGGGTTATCGTAGGTCCATGCCAAGTAGGCCACATGGAGGACCTCAGTGTGAGAATCAAGAAGTAAATTGACAAATTTCTAGATGCTGAAGAAGGGGATGCAAGCCATGGGCCCGAAGAGAGCTGTCTTTGCTCTCATCAGGGAAGTGCAGTTCCCCAGTGATAGGAAGAAGTCTCTAAAGAACCCATCCTAGGGAGAAAGAGTCAACTTTGAAAACTCGCTCAGTATAGGCCAATTTATAACAATACCAGGCAAATAAGTACATTCTCGTCATTTCTTCTCTTGCTTACCCCAGTCCTCTCTCTATTCAACACTGGCCCCTTGACTCTGAAAGTGTCAGCAGCTATGGTTTTCCAGATGGAGGAGAAAGAGGAAAGTGGTGGAGAGGAAAAGCAGAGCCGAGCCAGCCTCATCCCTTCCGGACTTGAGCATCTTACCTGCCACAGTGCAGCCGGGCTGCGCCTTCTCAGGGGGAGGTGTTTGCGTTTAGGTCAAGGTTGGCGTTTCATTATCATGGCAGGCTCGCATATGAAGTACTGAATTGAAACCTTGAATGCGACTTTCTCCCTCCATACCTGCTAAACAGCAGTGCACTTCCCAAGATTAGCTTCATGCTCTTTTCCTATCCTGACCTTTCATCCCAAACCGACCGGCTCTGCGTCTGCTCTGCTCCAGCACAGAAGCCACGCGACGCTCCATTTCAGTGTTTAGTTGTTTGCATATCTTTGTCCTCAGCCGGCCCATAAACTGAAGGAGGGCAGGGATGAGTTGCCCACCTTCCTACAGCAGGACCTAGCCACCCCCGGCACATAAGTTTCCTTCAGTCAAAATGTATGAAAGTCATTTATCTTAAAAAGCAAGTTTAGATTTTCCTACAAGAGCCTATAATTCAAACTTGTCTTTATTTTTTGAGAGATAAATTAAAACCACCCGCTTTCTCAACACTACAGTATAATTGAAGGTACGCTTTGTGAGCCGTCTGCTCAAGGATCGCTGGGATGCTGACCAGCAGTTCATGAGAGAATGCTCTGGCGTCTCATGAGAGATGCGGTAAGAGGCCTTTTCATACTTTCCAGTGTTTCTTCCACAGGTTTCTTCAGGAGAAGCATTACCAAGAACGCCGTGTACAAGTGTAAAAACGGGGGCAACTGCGTGATGGATATGTACATGCGGAGGAAGTGCCAAGAGTGTCGACTAAGGAAATGCAAAGAGATGGGGATGTTGGCTGAATGTATGTATACAGGTATCCACTTCAAGCAATTACATTCCACTAAGAGTCTCTTAAGAAGGCAGATGTCAGGTAACGCTCATGTCCTGAGAACGGTACTTCACATGTGAAAGAGGGAATCTCCTAAGCCGTCTAAGTTCTTGAAAAGGGTAACGAACCACCGAAATTGTCCAACCTGTCAGATAAAGAGCATTGTATTCTCCTGAAGGCAATGGCTGCTTCGTTGGTGTTCTTTGTTGTAACGAATTATATACATGGAATGAGATGGTATTAACATAACAGTTTAAATAACAAGCTTTAATGAGATGCGAGGAATAACAGTCTAAAGTCCTCTAAATTCAATTTTAACATACTGATTTGTTCCTTAATTAGCATATACATTTACAGTTGTGGGAAAAATAAGAAAGCTTTAGAAGGTACATCACTGCCTCTGAATTACCTAAATAGAGTTTTAAACCCAGTCATTTTATTAAGAATCCATCTTCTCTGAGCACAGCTTCGAACCAATTTGTATAGGTTTACACCGGAAATTAACTACTCCCAGTTTTAATATAATTTTGTCCTCGGATCTGATAAAGAGGCACTGTATTAACTGCCAGCTTTGTGAGGGACTGTAATCGCCATCCAAAGTTGGAAGGCATGCTAGTCTATCACATAATTAATTTTTCATTCTGCAAATTTTACAGACCACTCAGATTCTGAGATATGTCCTGTTCCTCCTCAAAACACAAATAGACAAACAAATGTCACCAAGGGGATGATAACATTCAGGGAGGGAATGCCGCATGGAATAAGAGCCTCAGGAAGGTGACTCCAGTTCTATTGTTTCCAGACTGTACAGGCAACTGGGACAGACCCAGGGAAATAATGCACACGGCGGGGAGAAAAACAGTCCTGTGTAAATAATCCAGCTCTGGGTGGATGAAAGTTTTATAGCGGCTGATTGCAATCTCATCTTAGCATCCATGAAACAAAAGCCTGCATCAGGGGCTGCTGCTGGAATCGAGTCTTGCAATGGAAACACCTTGACACTGAGTGGATCGTGTTGCTCATCATTTAAATATGAACTTGTTCCAAATGCAGCTCCAAGGACATTTTGCATGAGTCTCCCTAGAAGAGTCTAGAATATTATTTATGAACATAAACTTGTCTAGTAACAGGTGTAGATCTTTCACAATCCTACAAAATACATTCTCCGTACAAAGAAATTCTCGGAACTTTGTTTTATTAACATTGAGAGAAGAAGGAAGTTCAATGGGAACGTGGAAGCCATTGTTTTTTAGGGCTCTGTTTAAGTGTAAATTAATTCTGATATTGTATGATTCCCCCCAAAGAAATTTTCAAAGTCACCTTGCATTCTTTTCAACTTTAATTATATTCTCAATAATTTGTACCATTCTGAGAAGTAACAGGATTCAAAATTTTTCCCTAATGGATGTTTGTATTTGTTTTACTCGACAAGTCTATGTGTGTTTAATGTGAAATCGAATGTGCTTCTTACGGTGCAGTATGTGAACATGGTTGAAAATTATATCAATGCTGTGTTTTGAAACACAGCTTTCAAGGTTCCCTTAGACCAGGAATACAGGAGAGTGTCATTGACCTTGATGTTGGCTGAATACTCTGCATTTGTACAAAGATTTTGCATCACAAATTCTTTATATGTATAAAGCCCATTTAAAAAAAAGATATGATTATATTTAATCTACGCAAATATCTGTGAGATAGATATTACTCCCATTTTCGAAATGAGGAAACTGAGACTCACAGAGGTTAAATGTCTTGTTTAAGGTCAAGTCTTAAACCTTAGCTTTTAAAATGCCGGAAAGTCCTTAGTCCTGTGCCAAATTGCATAGATCTTCTCAGCTGAGTGCACTTCAGCTATTTTATGATCGCACACCCAAAAGTACTTTCGGTAATTGGTGAAGTCTCTATGCTTATTTTTTTTCTTTTTAGGCTTGTTAACTGAAATTCAGTGTAAATCTAAACGACTGAGAAAAAATGTGAAGCAGCATGCAGATCAGACGATGAATGAAGACAGTGAAGGTCGCGACTTGAGACAAGTGACCTCGACCACCAAGTCATGCAGGGTAATAACATGCAATAGTGTCAACCACAGCAGAAAGGAGCCGAGCGTCCAGGTGCACAGAGATCTGGCTGGAAGGCTCTCCAAGTAGAGCCATGGCCACAGCAGAACTTCCGGTCCAAGAGTGCATTAATATGGATTCTTTCTTTTCTTCCTAATCAAGAGAGTAATATATGCTTTGGTGTAAAAAATGCAAATAATAGCAGTGCATAAAGTAAAAAGTCTAAAGTTTCCCCTCTACTTGATTCCATTCTATTCCTACTACCTAGTGGTTGTCAGTATGAATGATTTTGTGTATAAGATACATTTTTTTCCCACTGAGTTTTGATGATTATTCTTTTTTTCCCCAAGAAAGGCTCAAGATGGGAAGAATGTGGTCTCCACAGAGGCTGCCGATTATTCCTTATCACAACCAATACAACAGGATGAATACCCATTTGCAGACCAATAGAGAAAAGCCCTTCGCACTGAGGTCACAAATTTCTCAAGAAATCCTTTGAGCAACTTAGTTCAAAATAGGGAAAAATATCCTGGCTGATTAGACAAGCATATTATGATAAAACATAGGACATTTGGTGGATTTTTTTTAATGGACAATGTGCCCTTTTATTTTTTAATTTTACCTTTTAATTTTTTATTTGTATGTATTCACAGGGTACACATGCAACTTTGCTACATTGATGTATTGCATTGTGGTGAAGTCAGGGCCTTCGGGGCATCCATCACCTGAGTAATACACATGGTACCCACCATCATCTTTCCCACTCTCAGACTCCCACCCCTCTGAATTTCTGCTGTCCCTCATTCTACATTCTGATTCCATGTGCACGTTATTTAGCTTGAACTTGTAAGTGAGAACATGAGGTATTTGTCTTTCTGTGTATGAGTTCTTTGACTTAAGACAATGGCCTCTAGTTCCATCTGTGTTGCTGCAAAATACATGATTTCATTCCTTTTTAAGGTTGAATAGCATTCTTTTGTGTGTGTACATTTTATTTATTCATCCAGTCTTCTGTTGATGGACAACTTAGGTCAATTTCATATCTTTGCTATTATAAATGGTGCTTGATAAACATATGAGAGAAGGTACCTTTTTTTTTGGCATTGATTTCTTTTCCTTTGAGTAGATACCCAGTACTGGGATTGCTGGGTAGTGTGGTAGATCTATTTTTAGTTTCTTGAGAAATCTCCATAATATTTTTCACGGAGTTGCACTAATTTACATTCTCATCAACTGTAAGACTTCTCTGTTCTCTGCATCCTCACCAACACCTGTTATTTTTTGTCTTTTTAATAATGGCTGTTGTAATTGGTATAAGATGATATTTTACTGTGGTTTTAATTTGTATTTCTCTAATGGTAAGTGATGTTGAACAACTTTTTGGCCATTTGTTTATCTTCTTTTGAAAAATGTCCTTAGTCCACTTCTTAAGGAGTTATTTGGAGTTTTGTTTTTGTTGAGGTCCTTATAATTTTAGGATATTGGTCCTCTTCCTGATATGTAGTTTTCTATTTCTCGGGTTGCCTATTCATTCTGTTGATTATTTCATTTGCTGTGCAAAAGTCTTTTAGTTTTCTTTAAATCCCACTTGTCTATTTTTGGTTTTGTTGTCTGTGTTTTTGAGGTCTTTGGTCATGAATTCTCTACCTAGGCCAATGTCCAGAAGAGTTTTCCCTAGATTTTCATCTAGTATTTTTGTAGGTTCAGGTCTTAAATTCGAGTCTTTCATCCATCTTGGGGTGATTTTTGTGTATTATGGGAGCTAGGAGTCCAAGTTATTCTTCTGCATATGGCAGAATCCATTTTTCTAGCACTATTTATTGAAAAGGGTATCTTTTCCCCAGTATATGTTCTTGTCTACTTATTCGAAGATTGGTTGGCTGTTAAGTATGTGACTTTATTTCTGGGAGTCCATTCTGTATCATTGATCTATGTGTTCATTTTTTTATATCAATATGATGCTGTTTTATTTATTACAGCCTTGTATTATAATTTGAAGTCAGGCAATGTGATGTCTACAGCTTTGTTTATTTTGCTGAAGATCATTTTTTGTGGAGTGGGGTTCTATGAACTTTAGAATTGTTCCCCCCACCCAATTCTTCAAAAAATGATGTTAGTATTGCATCAAACCTGCAGATTGCTTTGGCGAGTGTGGTCATTTTAATAATGTTAATTCTAATCCACAAGCATGGGATTTTTTTCATCTGTTTGTGTCATCTACAATTTCTTTCATTAGTGTTTGGTAGTTTTCCTTGTAGAGATATTTTACTTCCTTCATTAAATATATTCTTAGGGTTTAATTTTATGTAGCTATAATAAATGTGACTGCCTTACTAATTTGATTTTTAGCCAGATCATTATTGATATATAGAAATACTACTGATTTTGTATCCTGAAACTTTTGGTAGAATTTTAATTTGCCATTAGCTGAAAAACCAAAAAGCCACAATTATCAAGCCACACCCTTCTCAATATTCCTTGTACTATTGATAAAAATTTTATCCACATTTAGTTTTTCTAATATATCATTTTATATAATTTCAGAAAAAATAATTTTATATAAAAGTATTATTTTGCCACAGTACTTTATCAGTAACATTTTGGTATAAGGAGGCAGAGTTGATATAATTGTTCTCACTTTTTTTTTTTTTTTTTTTTTCAATTTTTGGCAGAGGCAGGGTTTGAACCTGCCACCTCTGGTATATGGGGTCAGCACCCTACTCCTTTGAGCCACAGGCTCTGCCAAATTGTTCTCACTTTTCAAAAGACACTGTTACAAGGGAAGGAGAAATTTCCGGTCTGAATTGTCCAGATTGTGGACTGAACAACAAAGTTTTCTTTAAAGGGCTAGATGTTGTAGACTTTGGCCACACAGTATCTATCACAACTACTCAACTCTGCCATCTTAATCCAAAAGCAACATAGACAATACATAAGCAAAAGAGTGTGTCTGTGTTCTAATAAAACGTTATTTATAAAGCCAGAAAGATTTGGTCTATGGGCCACACTGTAAGAGTATTCATGTGAATCATTACATTCAACATGAATATAATATTCATGGTGTTCACACTATGTTGGCATATTTCATTAGTCATGATTCAACTTTCACTGACCTTATTATGAAGGGCTCAATATGCTTCATATTTGACTATTATTTATTCCTAAAAAAATACATGAAAGGAATATTTTGTTACCTCTGTTTTATGAATAGAAAATGAGTAACTTGGGACAAATTTAGTGAAACATAATATGACTTGCCTAAAGAGCTAAAGAAAGAGATTAAACACTATAGTAGAGCTTATAGTTTCTGTTTATTTAGGGATTATTTTTCTTAATGATTTCTGTTATAGTTCACCCCAGGTAAATGCACATATAGAAGGAATGCCTTATAACCACCCTCCCTAACACCTTTTATTTTCTTGCCAGTGTAGGAGAAAACTGAACTCACCCCAGATCAACAGAATCTTCTACACTATATTATGGATTCATATAACAAACAGAGGATGCCTCAGGAAATAACAAACAAAATCGTATGTATAATATCTGAAAATATATGGATTTAAAATTAATACTTTCTTGAGTTTTTATTCTTTTGCAGGTGGAATTTATATGTAAATATGTTACTTTGAAATGATTAAAACTGAGAATTTAAGTTATATTATACATTTAAACTCTTACCAGGATTAAACAATTAAAGAGTAAGAAGGCAATGGTAATTGCTTTCCAAAGATCTGAGAAGTATGTGCTGGGTCTTTACATTTTATTTTCTAAATATGTTTTTTCTTTAGCCTAATGACTTTATATTGATTTATAATTTTCTGTCTGCTTACTAATCATTTGCTTTTTTCTTAAAATTTAGTTAAAAGAAGAATTCAGTGCAGAAGAAAATTTTCTCATTTTAACTGAAATGGCTACAAGTCATGTACAGATCCTCGTTGAATTCACCAAAAGACTGCCAGGTATTTTTTTAATTTAAAAGTTAATATTGAGAGTTTATAGATTATATTAATAATTTTACATGAAGTGTTTTGTTCAATTCTCAAAACATTTCTGTGAGATCAGATTTATTATCCATATTATTAATACTATTACCCAGTATTTTGCCTTATAAGAATTTAGTTATTTCTCTGCTGTATTCTGAACTACTCCTGTGACATTGAGAGAGGTAAGTCTGGTTATTGTAAAGTGAATGGCACCGCTGATTTAAATTAATGTGTCTGACTACTATAGACATGAGATTTTAGAGCCAAAAAGGATTTTTAAAATCAGCTATAATTCTTCCAAATCAATAGATCAACAAATTGGGACTTTGGCAAGTGATCATTCAACCATTTATTCATTCACTAAGTCATTGCTATTGCTTGCCATTCACTTCAAGGAGAGTGATCGAAGGGCATTGTTATACTTGCTGTTAATTTCAAGGAGAGTGGTTATAGGGTATTATGAACACACACACACACACACACTAGTTTTGTTTCATTGGAGAGGAATTAGTTGCTAACTGTGTCTGGGGGAAAAGGGAGACTTCAGAGAGGATCATATTTGAGTTAAGTCTAAGAGTAAAAGAATTTTTCTAGTCAGAAACTTGGAGAAGGGGAATTCTAAGTTGAGAGATATTCTTATGAAAAGATAATGAGGCATGAAGAATAGGGTTTTTAGAAATGGGAGAGAAAATTCAGTATGACTATTACATAATGTCCATGGTGGGTTCCTTGAATGGACAATAAGGTAAGTTGGCACCAGAATGATAATGGCCTAAATAAAGAATTTAATCATGTATCCTGGATTATGAAGAGATTTGGGTGGCTTAGAGAGATAAATAAAATTTTTGTTATAAAGGCTTTATCAGGTTTGCATAAGATGTATTTGAATAGGGAGGACTGGAGGTAGGGAATATCAGTCAGTATACTACTGCATTTAGAACAGTAGTAAGAGAGCTTAAAGTAAAGAAATAGCAGTGAGAAAAAAATGAGGAGAGATACAAAAATTGATAGAGCTGGATGAATACTTGCTTGTGTGAGACAAGGGAGAAAGATTTATCTGTAGTTTTTTGATGGGTCCAGCATAAAACAGGAGTGCAGGAGTCTTATTTCTCAGTCTCAAATTCTTTCTGCTATTGTATCAATGCTATCTAAGTCAATAGGTTTAAGGTGTTTCAGTGTTTTTAAAAAGTATTAGTACAGTAAAATCTCATGGTCAAGGAGAGTATAATAAATACCTAGGATAGCAGTATAACCCTGTGATATTAAATTACAGAAGGGAACTTCTGACATAAGATTTTAATTAGACATGTTAATTTCCCTTCTGTCATTATTTTATTAAATGTGTCACGAATAGACATAAGCCTACATGAGATTCATAAAATGTGTGGAGAAAGTTCTTGCTATCGTCGAAACATTAATATCCTCTCATTTCTTTATTAACAACGAAAGAAGAACTTAATTCACTATATTCTAATTAAGTTGAGGCAATCTCACTCAAAACCAAAATTATGCAAGAGTAAAGTCTGTGGGGAGAAGAACTGGAGGAGGGAAACATATATTTTTGGTTATTTTTTTGTGGGAGCAGATTTTGCAGTTCAAGTGGTCAGTTGGTTTTGAGCCAAGAAGTAATTGAGGACAAATAAAAATCATATTCATGAGAAAGTAGCTTATCTGAAAGCATTAGCAATATCTTAACATCTCTTCTTTCCCAATGACGATTGCATTGCTCCCGAGGAAAGCAGTGCAATGAACATGTATGCGGTGAGGAGAGCAGAAGGAAAAATTTAAAAATACAGAAGGAAATAAAAGGCAGCAAAAACCCTGGAGAAGGAAGAAAAATTATTTAGCAATCACTATAGAGATAACTTTATTAATGAATAGTAGTAATAGGGATATAATAGGAATACTGGAAGGCCATTGGTGAAAAATGAAATTGAGTCACTCCATGCAGTAGTTCATTAAGCATAGTGTATGCCAGGCACTGTCCAGGGTGCTGGAGACCCAGAGGGAAGAAGGCGTGGCTGCTGCCCTCAGAGAAGCTCAGAGTCTCAAGAATAATGACTCTGAATCTTTAGCATTGCATGCTTCTCTAGTCTCTCATTGTTGTTTAATCCTTCCCTAAGCCATTTAGACCCTAATGGTATTATTTTTTTTCTCTATTTTTATATTAGTTTTGTGTGTGTGTACCAGCATGCAAATGAGCTTTTTGTTTTGTTTCCCATTCATTCATTCAATTATTCAACAAATAACTTTGGGTACCTATTATATGCTAGACGCTGGGGATACAGAAGTAAACAAAACAATGTTTCTGACATCTTGGGCCAGTTTACCCTCAGTAGAGGTGGCAGACTGTTGACACATAATCAAATAAATCTATAATGTCATGTCAGGTAGTGCTAAGTTCTATGAACAAAAATAAAGCAGGGAGAGACCAGTGAGGGCTGGGAGTGTTCTTTTAGGATAGGTAATTCTGGAGCAGAGAAAGACCTGATTGCAGTGAGGGAGTGGGACATGGCAACGTCTGAGAAGAGCATCCATCCCAGGGGCAAAACTGGGCTTGTGTATACACAGCAGAGCCAGTGGCTGGAGCACAAAGAGTGTGGGGAATGAGGTCAGGGAGGCTGTTGGGAACTGCATCATACAAGTCTGGATAAGCACATTGGATTTTCAGGGCAATGTTATATTTTTTTGGCTTGGCCATTCTTTCCATATTTTTCTGGTTTCCCCCACCCTGCATGGTGCAGTCTGAGGTTCAGAGCAGATACCACAATATGATTTTAATTGGCTTTTGAGAGAAATGCTACCCATTGTCTAGATTGACTGAAGACTCATGAATCAGCCAAATATTCTAGATGCACGTAATGTTTTGTCTGGCTTGTGGGTGTTTCCATTCTGTGAAGTTGGCCCTTTCATGGCAGGTGTGACTAGAATGAAGGCTCATAGTATATCTGCCTACATCTGGCTTCTAAGGGTTGCTGCATCTGAATCAGTCTGTCTCTGCCATAAATATATATATCTGGCAAGGACTTGACATCTCCCTTTGCCTAACTCATTCAATAAATCCTACTCAGTGAAGATAAAAGTTGGCTTCTATTTTGGGGAGTACAATAGTTATTGACTCCACTGGACTACCCAACTGTAAAACAATTACAAAACCACTTTGTGGAAATATTTTATCAGTGGTGATGATGATGAGGATGATGAAATCTTGTTCTACATATATAAAGTGAAAAATTGTTATACAAGTCCAATTCCTTGATACTGGTTTGATTATCATATTTATTCAGGCTTTCAGACTTTAGACCATGAAGATCAGATTGCTTTGCTGAAAGGGTCTGCAGTTGAAGCTATGTTCCTCCGTTCAGCCGAGATTTTTAATAAGAAACTTCCAGCTGGACATGTTGACTTGCTAGAAGAGAGAATTCGAAAGAGTGGTAAGTTTTGGTTCGTGATAAAAGAGTTTGTTTCTGCAAGTAAAACAGGCTCACCCCATGAAGGCAGTGCTCTCGCCTATCTTATGTAAAACTGTTATATGTCCATACTGTTTAGCATGGAGAGTGGCTTTAAAAAGATATGCCTTAAATAGAATTTTTTTTTTTTTTTAAGTAGGCCCAGGCTGGGTTCAAACCCACCAGCCCTGGAGCATGGGGCCAGAGGAATAGATAGAACTTTTACAGGCTTTGTTCAAAAATCCCTATTGTAATTGTAAACATCAGAAGCTCTCTCTTCACTGCCCTAAGAAAAGAGGCTAAAAAACTACTTATAAAGTTTAGAAAACTATAGTATATTTTCTCCAATTTTAATATCAGGTAAATCCAGATTAAGTAGATGATTTTGAAGTCTTCTTTTTCTATTATCTATAAGATTTGACATGATCTGTTTTTGAAATTATCTTTTACTTTTATTTATAAATATTAGTTGTCTCTTTTTTGAGACTTTGGAAAAAATAATAATAAGAAGTTAACTGATGACTCCGTACTGAACCTCAGAGTCAGAGCATTCTATGATAGACATACTCTTATTTGACAATGTGAATGTTACTTTCTTTGCATTATTGTGATTGCTTAGTATTTTGATTCAGCAGTCATCTGATTTCTTTCCTAAATGTATTTATCTTCATTCGTTCTTTATGAGGTTTTGTTTCTAGTCCTTATCTTAAACGTTGTTATTGTTATTAAATTTTAAGCCTTTTTAATTTTGTGAAGGCAAAAGTGGAAACCTACTAAACACATGTATGTGTAATAAAAAAATAAAAAAAGTTTAGAAAATTAGTGTAATGAAAAATAACACCAGAAAATGGGTTAATTTGGTGCAGAACAAAATTCATTGTTTTTAAAACCTTAAGATATGAAAGACCGAGTAACAAGCTGTTCCCATTACCTATCTCTATCAAAATAAAATAGAAATACATGATAGCAGCAATATTTATCATTTACACTGTTCTAAATGCATATGATTTCATCAAATCCTTGCCCAAATCCTATGAAATAAGTACTATTATTGTTCCTATTTCAGAGATGTAGAAACTCAGAGAAAGGTCAAATAACTTTCCCCAAGACAGAAAAAACGTCTAATTTCAGAAGCCTGTGTCTTGATTACTGTTCTATACTGCCTTTCCAGAGATAGAATAATACCACATGTGACTCAGTTTGACTTATTCTGGAGCAATACTGTGACAGGAAGGTCTAGAGTGACATCAAAATTAATTACCAAGAATTTTGTGCAATTTATCTTAGGAAATTCTTAAAATAGAATAAGTTCTTCTTTTCCTGAAAGATTTCACACAGGGATTGGGAGGGGGCAGAGGATGAATAAGATGGAAAAACTTCTCGAGATCTTTTCCTTGTCAAGTATTATCATTCTGTGATTGACTGAAATAAGTTGACAGACTTTTAAAACCAGTAACTTGGAATAGGAATTGGAAGGAAGTTTTTCAGGCAGATTTGCATCTGTGATATAAGTAAAATAATTTAAAAATTAAGAATTATCCTTAAAAGCAGTCTTTCCATATTCATTATATCTCTTCCTCCTAGTTAAAAATGTAAAGTATAATTAGCATCACCAATAGATTAAAAAAAAACTTAAACACTTTTAAAAGAAGAGTTATTCTCAATATATTGAGAATATAGTGATTAGTTTGTCAAATATTTAAGAGCAAGGTACTATGGTGGCCATGAAGAGAGAAATCAATGTTCCTTCCCTATAGAAGTTTCTGGTCTAGTGGGAAGAGATGAACTGTGCCTGATTTTAAGAAAATGTAGAAGAGAAAAACTGAGAGAAATGATGACTTCTAGTTGGCAGGGCTCCAAAAAGGTTTTGCTGGCAGTTGAGCTGGGCCTTGAATGAGATTAGCTTTGGATGCCCACCAGGAACAAAGCGGGAGAGGCAAGGAAGCTCAGGCCCACACTCACAGATGTGTGAGTAGCTGAGTTGATTGCATTAAAGGGAAATTAAAAAGGAAAAAAAAATGTCAGAACTGGGTGGCTGGGGGTCATGAAGGTTGAGCTCAAGATTTTGCTATTTCCTCCATAATTCTGGAAGATTTGTGAGCCGAGAAGGAAACATATCAAAATCAAGCTTTACTAATTGCCCAGCATTGTTAGGACAAGCCTGTTGGAAGGCCGCAAGTTTCAAGGCTGTGAGCCTTGCTGCCAGGAGAGGAGAGAAAGGATCTGGGAGATGTATTGTGCAGCTTATCACTCTTTGAAAGATATTACTTTGTTAAGAACTATGCATTTCGGCTCTCGACAGACTTTGTCACCTACCTGGGCCTTAATTTATCTCCTGTGTGTTTGTGCATATGTGTGTGTGTGGGTGCGGGATGAGGGGGAAAGCTTGAGTCAGATAACCCCTACGGCACCATCCAGTTCTACAAGTCTCACTGCTTTTTTTCCCTGAAGTAATTGAATGATTTTGGTTTTGATTTGTTGTTTAGCCAGTCACTCAGCCAGCTACTTACATATTCTGATTTTTAAAGCTGCGAGCCATGAGTGGCAGTTCAACTTAGGCAAGAGTTACAGGACACAAGCTAAATTTTCACAGCGATGAATTTCCTTGTTGGTCTGGGCTGCCGAAGGTAGATTGGTGGTTCTCTCTGCAGAAAATCGTGGTGGCTTCAACCTGTGGTAGATAAAACCTCACCAGCTTACCTTGGTCATTTATTTGGCTCTGGCTTGGAGCTCTCTTTAGGAAAATCCATGAGTTAGATCTAATTTTTTAAAAAACTAATACAAGGAGATAACAACCTGTGACAAAATATTATTCATTTTATAGTCAGGTCCCTTTAACTCTCAAATGATTTGTACTGTAGTTAATGTGTGTTTGGGGTATTCATCAAGAAACAGGTGACTATTTTAAGATGCTGACTATGAAACCAGCCTTGAATTTAGGCTTTACTCCATATTGGCTATGTGGTACTTTTCTTTTCTTTCTTTCTTTTTTTTTTTTTCTTTCTTGCAGTTTTTGGCCGGGGCTGGGTTTGAACCCACCACTTCTGGCATATGGGGCCGGCACCATACTCCTTTGAGCCACAGGCACCACCCCTACATGGTCCCCTTTATAAAAAAGCTATTGAAATAGACCCGCTAATCAATTTGATCTTTTCGCAATCATGTCTAACTTTAATATTTCTTCTGCAGCCGTGCCTGGATTTTGGTAATAAGAGTCTCACAAGGCAGGGTCTTTCTTTTTTTGAGTCAGTGTTTTCTACCAGGCAGCGAGTACATGTCTTTGGGATGAATGAATGGGGGTTTGTCTCCAGTTATGAGGCTGGCCCATCTCTGTACTTCTCAGATGGCTGTTCTCCTGAATTTCACAGTTATTTGTAACCCAGACCGACAGCTAACCAAAGGTCTCATTTTTCCAGACCTTGCCTACAGGCAAGTAGTTAATTTAGGAAACATACCTCTTTTCCATTTGAGTATAAAGGAAAAAGACAGTCTGGGTGTGGAATTCTGCTGTGTTCCCTTTTTCCTTTTCCTCAAACATGAGGCATTTAGAGTTGATTAGGGGCCAGACGGTAATTTAAAAAGGGGCACAATAGCTGTCATATGAATTGAAGTGTTTCGATGACAGGGCATGTGAAGCGGAATTATTTAGCAGCTTTTCTCCATCTCTGTCTCTCTCTGCCCCCCTCACAGGTGCTCAGCTCTCATTTTTTTTTTTTTTTTTTTTTAATCTTTGGCTTCATCAGCCCTCCAGGGTCCCGAGCCAAAGCAGGTTTAGCCATAGGGAGTACTTCCATGGGCCAGGTACAGTAGAGATATAGAGATGAATAAGATAAAGTCCCAATCCTCAAGACTTCATCTTCTGGGGAAAATGTACATGAGAAGAAATGATCCCGTATCATGTCTCATTTTAGTTAGAGGTTTGCCTGCTGTAACACCGACTTCATAAGAATAAAGAGGGACTGAGCAAGATAGAAAATTATTTCTAGTCTGGGCATGAGGACTGATAGGGCAGCTTCATAGCATCCTTCTCTGTGGCTGCTCATCCATCCACAGAGCGCTGACCACGTCTGTAAGGTCTAAAACGGCTCCCTATCATTCGGGTACAATCTCATGCCAGCCAGGGAGGAGGGCAGGGGGGGAAAGGAACATCACACTCTCCCCATGAGGGAAGGATCCCTCAGAAGGGATCGACACTGCTTCTACTGACATTCCACTGGCCGAACTTATCTTCCCCCTCACAGAAAGGAGGGAGCCTGTAAAGAGACTAATGCACTCAGTAGGCAAGAAATGATGACGGTCTTGCTCATTAAAATATGTATAATTGAAAAAAGAAAAAGAATCTTGCTTGTAATTTCCTAAGTTTCAGAACTTGGGATACTTCAAGTTTCAGAGCAGTTCAAGAAAGAAGTTTTCCAAACTATGATCTAGGTAAATAAATATGCATGTCTCCAGTTCATAATAAGATCCTCTCCCCAAATATCAACCGTGTATTGTGACAATAAAAAACCACCCAAACGCTCATGCTGCTTCCTATTTTATGGTTTATAATGATACTTCCATTTATTAATATTTATGAATTTGCTTCTCCCAGTGGAGTTTCGGAACATTGCCTCCTCCACGCTGCCACATAGAAACTTGATCTTGCCAGATGACCTTTCAGAATAACTTTTTATTCTTATGCTAATATAACCCATTCTTATTTCTTTTGTACATTTAACTCCAGAGTAAGGTTGTGTCTGAAAGTTACCTTGTTTATGCCTACAGAACTCTTTAAGGAATATAATGTGAAATTTCTTTTCTTTTTCTTCAAATTCATATTTTGTTTTGTCATTATTAAATCCCAGCGATATGTACAAAGATATTGTCTCCTGGGGTGCTCTTGCTTAATGAGAGTGAGTGTTTATTTATGTTAATTGAGGCTTTAGAGCATGCATCTGATAAAAACCTGCGGGTGAATTGTTTCTACACAATTCTGGTGCATCAAT